GGGGGTGGGGGTGTGGGGTGTGATGATTGCTCTTCGTTCTAATCGAAATTCACACCCACGCCCACGCCCGCACCCAAACACACACCCATACCCGCACCCACCCACCCACCCACACCCGCACCCACCCGCACCCGCACCCACTCACACCCACACCACCACACCCACACTCAACACCCGCACACCCATACTCCATACCCAAACCCTCAGATAAGATTTATCAGGTCAGTTTTATGTAGCAAAAACAGAGTTGCGCGATGAAGTATAAAAAGAGGAATAAAACAACACTTAAGAATGAAGGTAGCCCTTATTTTTGTCATAAATAAAAATTATACAATATATCTGTCGTTCTTCTTTTATATTGATCATAAGGAATAAAACCATGATAGATATCTTTGTCACCAGTTGAAGCACGCTTCTGTTTAGAAAATAAAAACAAAGCACTTATTTAAAGAGGTTACAGATAAAACAAATTTTACTGTTTAGGGCTATTTAATTTTATCTCCATCTGTAGAACGGTAAAAAAAACCATTTCTGTTTTCAAGTCGAGAATAATAAAGTAAGCTCAATTTAATCTCAAGTGGTATTCGGATTTAATAATGTATAATAAGCTTCATGTGACGATGCATTGATGTCAACAGTAGGATGTGAGTGTGTTTTATTTTGATTAAGCAGATTTTCATCAAGTATATAGTTACTTTTTGCTCAGCATCTGTATTAGTTATCCCTGTCACATGATTTTTCATATCGTCATATTCTTGAAGTAAATAGACAATGCATGAGCTAACTTGTATGTAGCATGAAGTTGTCATGTTTTAGCGTAACTATAAAAGCAGCAATTGTGAAAATTTATTGTAGAAAACGTATTGAGAGAAACTGGGAAGCATACACTTATTGATCTGGTGAAATAGCTAAATTAATAATAGTATTTGATTGATTATTTAAATGATTGCTCAAATCCAATGGTATCTATTAAATGATTCAGATGATCAATCTTATGAAAGAACTAACTAAGAATCCTTTAAATACATGGAATAGTTTCACACTTCTGCACTTTTGAAAAATTTATTTATTGATTTTAATCAGGCAGCAATTCGATTAACAAATCAAGAAAAATCTTATAGTGTATGAATATTTGTTTTTCTTTTTGATAGTGAAACGATATTAGGGAGTCAATTTAAAGGATATTTGAAAAGGCTAATTAATTTTGACATTGTCCTGGTGGACGTTTTTCGTAATAAAGATTGCACTTATCTTTTTGAAAAAGTAGTGTTAATTTGCAGCAGTCGTAATAAGGAACAACATCAGCAAGAAAATGTTTACCGGCTTGAATAGTGTCACCTAAGGGTGTTTCTGCATCAAGTGTGCCAGCACCTTTCCAAGGATCTGATATCCATTGACCATTTTTATCATAACATGCTTGAGCACCTGGTCCTGTTGAAGACATAGCATGTCGATAGCAGCCATGAGCACCCCTATGTAAATCACAAGTATTCGGTTGTCGTGATGCGTCACAACCTGGATCTGTTGTCCAACCACCAGGCAACGTGGGAGGAAACGCTGTGGAAATACTGCATGGTGGTTTTAATGTTTTGGCTAGAAGACCGTCGGGATTAGGTTGAGACCAGTACCATAAATAGCATGTTCCAATATCGCGAGCGATTATCTCGCTTTTATCTGAAGTTTCGCCTTCAGGAGAAAATGGAATACCATTGATCAAGGAGATCGTCAATAAGACGAGCGAAATGTATTCCGTCGAAAGCATTTTTAGATTGTAAAGTATTTGATACGACACACATACTTATATAGTGATAGCTTTAAGTGCCTCAATAGATGGAATAAATAAGCAGGGTTAAAAAATACTATATTGTGTTTTGTTTGCGTCATAAATTTTGATGACATTCAAACAATTGTTGATGATCAATCTCTACTTGATAGTATACTTAGCGATAAAACAAAGCACATGCTCTTTGACTACAAGTTATTGATGTTTTCTAGCAGTGTTGGAAGTGAGGCAATGATGTTGAACATCGATAATTAACATGTCGCTGATACTCAATGCTATGTAATTCAGCTGCTGAGAAACGAAATTTTTCGACTGGTGACCAATTTTATGAATCAAATATGATATAATTTGGACCCCATAGTTATAAATTATGTTGAATTTCTTCATTCGATGGAGAATAACAAAGCAAAATATTGATTTTTCTGAGTCCAGGGTGTGGGTGTTCTCCTTTTCTCCAACATTCACAGCAACTCCCACACATCACCCTTTATTAGAGCATTCTTTTGTTTTTGAATTATTTCTATGAAATGCGTCACAAAACCTGACTTATTTCTGATGAATCGGTTGGCCCAGTACATTTTTGTTGCCGATGATATATTGTATCTTATTGTTTTTTCTGTTACGCATGCATTTATCCAATAGTTTGTTGGGTGATTGTGGCTTTTGGTTTGTTAATGTCCTTAGTTTGACGCAAGCTCTTTTTTTTTCTGTTTTTCTGCATTAGACTTTACTTGAAGCTTTCGACAATAAGATGCGGCATCAAGAAAGAAAGTCAAACATTGCGCATCGTGGCTGTGGGGTGTGGCTGTGGGGCGTGGGGTGTGGTTGTGGGGTGTGGCTGTGGGGCGTGGGGTGTGGCTGCGGGGCGTGGGGTGTGGCTGTGGATGTGACCATTCCAATCACCCTCACCCACACGCAATATTACCGGAAAAACCGAAAACATCGTCGTTGTGTAGTTCTCATGATAAAACTTTATCCTCTAAACGTGTGAAACGTTTTTTTTTTAAGCCCCCCCCCCCCCCCCCCCCTCAGAAATGATTTCCCACTTAGAATGGGCCTTTTGAGCTGAAAATTTCAGGGATGAGTAATCCTGAAAAGATATGCCTCTCGTAAAAATTTTAGCTCTATAGGCCGTATTATACCGGATTTTCAGCTGATTCATAAGTCATTTTTGGCCTTCAGGAGAATCGATATAACTTCGTCGTAAGACGAGGTATAGAGCTCGGAGTGGTTTCAAATTAAAGCCAATGTCAGTACGCAGCTTTTCATCAAACAGAATTTTTTAATTCCCTATTGTTCATTTTTTATGAATATTTTAGTAGACATGTCTTAAAAAAAGCATAAAAAACTGTGATCCGACGACAGTAAATTCCACTTTTCTCAGCCCAGGAATCAACTTTAAAAAAACTGGTTGATGAAAAGTTTACTTTCGTTGAGACCTTTAAAAAGAAAAAAATATATTGTTTATCGCTCGAAATATGAGGGAGGAGTTCCAATGTTTCTGATTGGAAACCATGTTCTGTGAAAAACGATAAACAAATTTAAAAATGGATTTTTTTATTCAAATGCAGGAAATAAGGGTATTTTGATAATATTTATATGAAATTTTTGACAGCACGCAATAGATGGCGTAAGCGAGCACTACAGGTCGCACTATATGATATAAGAATGTTTATTCCATGCTGTTAGAAGTAAAAAAGTAGTCTTCCCAAAAATAACAAAAAGGGTGTGGATGTGGGTGTGGGTGTCGGGTTTGAGTGAAGAGATGACCAATAACTACACCCACATCCTTGATTGGTAATATATAATTATTGGCATAATGTTTGTATATCTAAAATATTTTTCCAAGAGTTTCAAATAAAAGAGCAAATATCTTCAAAATGAAATTACTTAAAAAATTTTCTACGATTACCATAGTAATAGTAACAATATTTTGTTTCATTTTTAGATTGAAAATTTGAACCATAATTATTCCGGATGCGTGTGTGTGTGGTGTGGATACATAGGCGGCGGAGCCACGAGGCCTGGATAGGCACGAGCCTACCCTAGATTGGAGAGGTAAAGGCTTGGGTAGGCTCGGGCAAAGGCCTGGGTAGGCTCAGATAAAGGCTTGGGTAGGCTCGGGCAAAGGCCTGGGTAGGCTCAGATAAAGGCTTGGATAGGCTCGAACTGGTAAATATAAAGATTTGAATAGGCTCAGTTTGACATATAAATTTTCTAATAATAGTTAATTTGCATGTAATTCTAACAGATGACGCGTTATTACAATGGCAGTGTGCATTTTATCTATTACAAATTCGTGTAGAGAGGCATACTGATTAGCTTTCGTGGACCTCTATATCTATGTCAAATTGTTTATTTTCGACATAAGATAATTTGACTTTTGGTATAAAGTTCTGTTCAAAATAACTTTTGAATTTTAAGCAATAAAGAACAGTATACTTCCACAAGTGGTGAAGTCACAAGATTTGAGTAAGCAGAAGTTCATCATATTTGAAGTTTCATAGTCTAAGAGAGATGTGAACAGTTGCTACTCATTCTATCATATTAACAAACTTGCTTAGTGCTTGAAAGTTTCTGCTGTCATCACTAACAACTACTAACACTTTTAGGAAAAAGCTGAGGTCCGTATGAATAGGTATCGTGGAATACATTAGCAATGAGTTCACATCATATTGTCTTGTTAGAAGTGAAGAATACCTTCACAGGATCTTGCAGTCATATCTACTGGATAATGCCACAAGTTTTCCTCTTGCAGCGGTCAATCTCAGATGCTAAGCATCCATTTTCAATAGGGATTTTACTTTACCTTTACTTTATAAATAACGATAAAGATAATCTTTTTCTTTATTTTATAAAGAATAAAGATAACCTTTACTTTAAAAAATAAAGATGAGAAAATAAAGAAATCCTTATTTTTTATAAAATAGAGATTAAGTAAATCTTTATGTTTATGAAATAAAGATAAAGATAATCTTTATTTGTACCCAGTGAAAAATTTCGACAATTTTCAATCGGATTTTTCTGCAACAAAATCAAAATTAAAATCGATT